GCGTTAGCTGGACTTTCTTCAGTTTCAGACAAGTGTGCGTTAGCTGGACTTTCTTCAGTTTCAGACAAGTGTGCGTTAGCTGGACTTTCTTCAGTTTCAGACAAGTGTGCGTTTGCTGAACTTTCTTCAGTTTCAGACAAGTGTGCGTTAGCTGGACTTTCTTCAGAAGTCGAGATAGGATTATCTGGGTGTTCATGCGTCTTTTCGATAGCTTCGGCAGTTTGTAGATTTTTTCCAATTTTTCTGGTTGCTGGAGAGATGTGTTGATGCTAGGGATGGAATGTAATTTCTTTTTGAATATTAGGAATATGGCGTCTTACCTTGCGACTCACTATTAAGTTCTTTAATCAAAAGTGCTATGGCTCCGGCTGGTCCACCGAGAAGATTATATGGAGAGGCTATAAGTTTATCTTCTGTCAAAGAAATGAAAACTCGGCTGGCAACCTTATTTTTCTCAATTATACTTATATCTTCGTCGTCAAGATCCATCTCCTCTTGTTTAGACTTTAAATATTTAAGAACATCTGCTCGTTTCCACTTCTTAACGCTCTCGGCTCTCGGCTGAAGGATTAGTGGTGGACATTACTATTTACGAAAGGATTTGCGTACAAGATGATATTAAAAAATATTGTGGTAAAAAAAATTTATCCTCTCATTTTCCGTGATCACATGGAGTTGCGCTTGGGCCCCATGTCACATTGGGGTGTGCGATATACGTACTATGTAAATCAAAACTATATGTGGTCATATAACAATATCTATTAATGAAGATTTTTTAGATAGATAATAATTTTATAGTAATTAAAGTAAACTTTAAATAGATATACAGCCCTAACGGTTCGATAGATTTGGATAAAATTTTGCAAAGACTAGTATTATGTCTCTACGAACAAAGCTATAGAGCCATTTCTTTTATTTAAGCATAAAAAATTTTAATCTACTATGTATTTTTTTTTTAAAAAAAAAAAAAAAACAAAAAAAACGAGAAATCCTAATTTAATTTCTTTTTTAAAGAAATGGCTCTATAGCTTTATTCGTAGAGACATAGTGCTAGTCTTTGCAAAATTTTATCCAAATCTATCGAACCGTTAGGGCTATATATCTATTTAAAGTTCACTTTAATTACTATAAAATTATTATCTAAATATATACTTGAAATAAAAAATATTCATTAATAAATTTATGATTTACATAGTATATCGCACACCCAATGTCACATGCATGTTGAAATAGTCCAATGTTACACAATGTTCATGTATTGTCACATGTAGATCAGCCAATCAAATTACAAGTTTAAAAAACGAAAATAAACCAAATCGAAGCGAAACAAAAGCAATAACATATTAAAAGTTCAAGAAACTTTTGTTGTTGGTAAGTAAAAATGTTTAGAATTCGTTTATTTATTAATTTAATAAATGAACTAACTTCTAATCATTACTATTTACAAAAAACTTCAATATATTCTATTACGTATTATATATATACATTAGAGTTTCAATCCGATAAATCCGTTATCCATTTATCCGCATTGACTTATCCGGATATCCATCCATTTATTTCAGATATCCGAAATGGATTAACTAAATCATCCGAAGTATTAGGAAGAATTATCCTAGTATTACCACTAAAAAATTTTTCAGGCCAAACCGAGCATTATATAGAAGAAATGCGAAAAATCAAAGTAAATTAAAAATCATTTATAGTTCTACATTTTGCCTATGAAACTGCCACCTACGCATTAACAAAAATTTTTCCTTATGAAATTTTAACTTTAAAAAAGAAACTGGGAGCTCTGTATGCCAACTCGGTTAAATCATTATTCTAACTATTCTAATTATTTATTACATTATGAGTTTATTTTGCACATATGCGCAGTTTCAATTTTTAAAATAGAATCCCTATATACTGTTGACCCTCCCAAAACCGATCCTGTCAAAACCGATAACCTGCTATAAACAATTAAAATTTGGTTCAACATGTTGGTTCTATAGGTAATATCTGATAACCTGTCATTTCTGATATCCGATAGGCAATTTATTTAAGTTTCCGATATAGTTGATTATAGTAGTATAAGTGCACCTATTTGCGCAACAGATTACATAATATTCATTGTTGTTTTAAGAACGTTCAACTAATAAGAATTAATCACCAGCCAACATACACATAACCAATTTTTGCAATCTTTTTAAAACTTTAAACGAAGTTTTCTTAATAATATTACGGGGTGAATCATAGGTTTAATTAGTGTAAATGTGAAAATATCGATTTTTATGATATAAGGCAACTCGCCAGAGGCGTGACGTTGGTGATTTGGTATTAATTTATTAAGCGAAGTATTAAAAGTATTGACCAATGGAAGTTATTGTATATTTAATATTGGAATCCCGTAGGATATATTATAATAGAACTCCCGAAGAATATATCATTGAAAAAGTCGAAATGCTAGAGTTTTTATAACTTCAGCGAATGTAAAAATTCAAGGGGCTTAGGGATGACTCATACATTATATCGTTAATAACTTTAAGAAAACTAGTTCTAATGTAAGGGGCTTACAATAATACTTTACAACATTATTATAAGAGAAGGAAGGCTTTGCTTCACTCCTACAATCATTCATTTTATAGCCACTTCAATTATATTCTAATCTTGATTATCGGTCTTATTTCATTTCTTCTTACACATCACTTGTTCTTCGGTTTTTGCGTTGATTATTGTTTTGTCTTTATTCGGCTGATAAGCCTCAACTGATAAACCAGTATTTCTTGGATCTATTGCTTCAATCACGGGTTTACTGTGCCTAATTTTTGTAGATCCTTCATTTTAGCCCGTGACATTTGCCCAACCTTATTTTATACATACCAGGCATAAATTATAATAAATATTTAATAAATTAATAAAGTTATTGATATTTAGACACACTAAAAAAAATTAATAATAATGAAAAAATTCTTATTCTGGTATATCATCCTTAAAAGGCCACGCCATATCCTTGGCTATAAGAAAGGCATTAGCTCGCTCACAACGAGTTTCGAACCCTAATCCTTTTGATCAACAGATAAGCATTCTAACTCATTTGTTCACATCAGAATAATTACTAATTTTGAAAATCTAACTCCTTAAGTTGATAATTTTGTACCACTTGATAATCCAATAGAAGAATTTCTTAAAACCTTAAGTTACAACATATAGAAAAAAATAACTTTAGTGATAATGCCTCGAAAATTCAAAAAACAACACGGACATCCTAAAAGACGAAGGTATATATATATAAGTTAATAATATATAAAAATAAAATTAATAAAATAATTAATTATATAGTAAAAAGTTTGATAAAGGAAAGCAAAAAGAAGTTATTGATGAAGTACAACAAAAAGATAAGGAATTACAAATATTATTAGATAAGTTTATACAATTAGAACAAATTGCACAATTTCAATCAAATAAATTTCAAAAACAAGAACAAAAAAGAAAAGATCAAATAGACTATTTAACTAAATTGTTATATATAGAAGAAAAAGATAAGTATAAAATAACAGAAATAGAAGATTCTACTTATAATACCATTAGACATTTCAGAAAAGAATCTGCTAAAAAATCAGAAGAACTTCGAAAATTAAGAGAACAATTAAAACAGCATGAAAAAGATCAAGAAGCTAAAGAAGCAGGAGGAAAACTTCAAAAGGAACAGGAAGAATGGTATTCTACAAATTGGAGACTAAAAAGTCAATTAACGAATTAAAATTAGAATTAATTACGGAAAAACAAAAATTACAAGCTAAATTAAAAGAATTTAAAGAACTAGAAAAAGAATTAACAATAATAAAAGAAAAACAAAAAGAATTAAGAAATGAATTACAATGGTAAGAATAAAAGTTTAATATATAATTATTATAATTAAAATATTAACAATAAGAATTTAGGAGAGATTGGTGGATCGAAAATGTGGAAGAAGAAAATAATAAACTTCGAGAAAAATGTGAAATATATGAAGAAAGCAAACATAGTTGGGAAGAAGCTTTGGATAACAAGCAAGATTGGGAAGAACAAGAAATTAATACTACTCAAGATAAAGAAGAAAGAAATAGTACTATCAATGAAGATAGTATGCGAATGATTGGATGGGATGAAAATTCTATGAATATAAAAGAAAGATCAATTGAAATTGAAGCTGAAGAAAATGCAGAAAATAATGATAATCTTGAATACTTAAACGAAGTTGCATATAGAGAATGGGAACAAGAACAAGATATAAATTCTAATAGTATGGAGGATATAGAAGATGAAGTTCAAATGAATACTGAAGAAGCAGAAGGAAGTAGTAGATCTGAGATCCCTTAGTTCGAAAGAAAAGAAAAAAATTATAGTCAAATAGAGGCAAGAGCTTATTATGAAGCTCTTGAGAAACTTTTAGATGAAGAAGATTTCTGTTAGTTTCATTATATTAGTTTTAATCTCATTATATATATTATTAAATAAATAAATAAATTCTCTTAGCTTTTTTCATTTCCATTGCTTCCAAGTCACAAATATATAGTTCCGAACTTGATCATAAAAAAAGAAATCGTTACTAGAAACAGTATCCAACCCAAAATTCTTTTAAGGTATCCAATGGTCTTTTCACAATTCATTAACAAGTAGAAAACCTAGATTAATTCTTCTCAACTTGATATACATGGTAAGTGTATATCATAAATTTCTAGTCCAATTTCGTTCAAGCAGATAACTGATTTAGCACCAAGAATATTCTTTAGAATTGGAACCTCAATTTGAGTAATCTCTTTTCGTATCCAGAAGTTTTCTCTTCTTCCATCCGTAAATCATTCCATTTAATGTATAAAAATTAGTACGTTTTCTTGAAGAGAGATAAAGTCTTCTGATTCCAAGCTTTAATATTAAACAGTTGAATTAGTAGATAAGAGATGATTTGCGGAGTATAGTAGTAATGGTAAGTAATATGCTATTGCTTTGTCCAACAACATTAAAAAGCTTTATATACTACTCCCCTGTCTTATATGATTCTTCCAGAATTACACCTTATAATCAATTCGGTAAAGTTTAACTTTTTATTCGTTTTCGTCGAATTATGAATTTAAACGTATCTTCATATAAACAATCTCTCATCATATGATATTCTGTAGATATTCTTCATAAACTTTCATCCCAGCTTGAGAATTTATTTAAGTGCTCTGGGACTTATTCATGTGATTCTGATTACTGTCTTGATATTATACTTCCGGGTGTCTATTTATATTCTTTAATAGATCTTAAAGTTAAGCAGTTTACTTGTAAGTTCATCTTTAGGTAATTTTGTAATTTAGTTAGTGATGTAGAAATAATTATATCCACAGACATCTTGGTAGTTCTTTACAGACACTCTATGTAGTTGGTCCTTTAAAGGAATAGCATCTGTAAATTGATTCGCTAATTGAATCTGGCGCTTAGGAGTGTCTTTGCGATCCATTACGTATTTTTGTAGCTAATATTTCCCCATAATCAAAATCATAATATATAGGTCTTCCTGTGAACATCTCGGCCCTAATATTGAAACGTCTTCTAAATTTGAATCATTATTCTTTCTAAATAATTCTAAGTTTTTCCAATTAAGCACATTAAATTTTAAAGATAGGAAATCATAAAGATATCGTCTATTAATCTAACTCTCGTATAATTTTTAATTTCTCCTGAGAAATTCTTCCGTGAACCAGGTAAATTTTTTAAGAGCACTATATATGAGGTGTACGTGATTATATATAATAATAATCAATAGTGTATGTAATTATTATTATTATTTTTTTTTTCATAGATACATTCTAGATAGCACGTCTACATTAGAGTGTTTTTGTCCCGCTCTGTGGACAATCCTATAATCGTATGGTTGTAGCCTTAGAATCTACTGGGCTCTCTTCCCTTTTGGTTCAGAGGTATGTAATCATTTTAGGGTGGCGTGGTCTGTAATTAGAGTGAAATGCTTCGCTCCTAAATAATAATGAAAATATTCGACAGCCCATACGACAGCCAAACATTCTACTTCCGAGGCTGAATAATTTCATTCGGTTTTTGACAGTCCACAACTTGCATATGCAACCACATATTCTTTGTGGTGCTTATCTTTTTGAGCTAATACAGCTTCCAACCCCACACCGGATGCATCGGTATGAAGGTAAAACATTTCTTTAAAGTTTGGATATCTTAGGATAGGGGCCATCATAAGATATCTTTTCAGGGTTTCGAACACTTTTTGTTGACTTTCAGCCCACTTATAAGGAACATCTTTTTCCAATAATTTATGTAGGGGCCGGGTTATCACTGTAAATCCTCTAATGAAACATCGATAATATAAAACTAATCCAATGAAGCCTCTTAATTGGCGTAAATTTTTTGGTACTGGAAAATTTTTTACTTTATCAACCTTAGTGTCGTCTGGTCTTACCCCTT